CAGCCCGGTTCGGAGGCAGCTGTCGCTCACCGGCACTGTTCCTGGGCCCGGCTGGCGCTCAGGGCTCCAGACCGGCTCTGGGTAGGCTGTGCGAGCGCGGCGCCTGCCCAGGCGGGCCTCGAGGGGAGCCAAGGGCCTGGGTGGCGCCCGGACCCGGATGGCCTGAGCGAGCCGCGGGCCCCACTCGCCCAGAGTGGGACTGCGCGACCCCAGATCCGCGTCGGTCAAGGCCGTCTCCTCCACGCACCCTTCCCTTCAAGCTCAGTCACCCCTGCCTCTCCCATTCTGGGCAGTGAACCATGTGGTTCTGATTGCTTGAGACCTCTGTGAGTCTTGGTTTCTTCATCCATAAAATTTTACATGCGGGCATAGCGGAAGGAATGTGCGCTGGCTCCGGAGTCAGACCGATCTGGATTTGAATCTCAGAGCATTTGGCCAGCTCGATGAATACCTTAGCCTCTCAGTGCTGCAATTTCCTCATCTGTGAAATGGGCCTAATCTGATAAATGTGATGGGCTTGGAGATGTCTATCCGCAGATCTGGAAGAATGCACCCCAAAGGTCGGTAGTGTTGGTAACATCTGAGGAGGGGTGCAGGGTTGGGGGACGGATGAAAAAGGCTTTCGCTTTTTATTCTGTACGTTTATATGTTGTTTGAATTTTTTAGACAAGCATTATCCTTGTGTTAGTTACGTTAAAAATAAATAATATATGTAAAATGGCTGGCATAGAGTAGATAATAAATGGTCACTATTATTTTAAAATTTTTGTCATTTACTCGTGAGTCGAGTTTTGTTGAGTCTAGTCTGTGTTTTAAAGCTGCCTCTTTTTAAAAAGTGATTTGAGGATATTTTAAAACAGAAGTATTTTATAAGGTCTCTCCAAAAACAAAAACACAAAAATGGAAGATCTTAGCAACATTGTCCTGGATCCCCAGAGGTCTTTGGTGCGCCTGATTAACGTTGCTTGGACACCTTTCGCACGTGGTGTTGAAGGCACAGAAGACAGTCTCTGGCCTCAAAGAGTTGGGTCTAGTTGGGAACAGACACTGCAGGTAATAGAGGTCATGGAGAGATGACTGACATAAAAATATAAAATGCTTTTAAAATGTAGGAATTGTATCCTTATTTGAAGTTTAACATGCATATTTTTTTTTCTCAATAAGTCCCTATTTTGGACCCCGGTACTGGACAGCTGCCAAAAATAAATAAATAAATAAATCCCTAAATTCTTTCATGACAAGGACTATTAATGCTACCTGGTATAATCTATGTTTTTTCTTTTTCTTTTTCTTTTTTTTTTAAAGGATGACCAGTAAGGGGATCTCAACCCTTGACTTGGTGTTGTCAGCACCACTCTCAGCCAGTGAGCCAACCGGCCATCCCTATATGGGATCCGAACCCGTGGCCTTGGTGTTATCAGCACCGCACTCTCCCAAGTGGGCCTTGGGCCGGTCCTGTTTTTTCAGATATTGTATTTGTGTTTTGTCTTTTGTATTCGTAGGATTACAAGAATTATTTGAATTGGAATATTATAAAACAAAAAAATGAGTCCCAGGTACCCAGGCCTTCTCTTTTGACTTTTTCTCCCAGGCTGAGAGGCCCACAGGCAAGCAGGTAAGCTGGCTGAGGACACCTGAGACCGCTGTTATTTTGTGGGGATGTGGAACAATGTTGCTAGAGCTTCTATTTTTGTGTTTTTGCTTTTCAAGAGAAGTATAAAATACCCTGGTTTTAAAATATTGAAAAGTCACTGGAAAAACAAACAACTTTAAGACACAAAGTACAGGGCCGTCCAGTTAGCTCAGCTGGTTAAAAGGTAGCCTCATATTCCCAAGGTCATGGGTTCCAATCCTCTGTGTTCATAAAGAGCTTTGGAAGATAATGAGTTAATACCCACCTCCTGGGAGGAGTGGTTTATCTAGGGACTCCTGGTGACACACAATCTCTAACCCACAGGCATATTTATAGTGCTGGATTTGGAGGGGAAGCCCCTTTGCCCAGACCTGAGAGTACAATGCAGATGATAAAACGCCTGGCTTTCGGGGGCAGAGGAAAATATTTTAGGCCTGGGACCTTTCAGTGCTGCTCCAGTCACACCCAATCAGCATCCACTTATTTAACAGGAGGCAAGATGCAGGACAGGAAGAGTGAGAAGGGAGCCTGGCAGGAAGGAGAAGGTCCACCTTTGACATTTGTAACCGCCGAGAACTGAAGGTCAGAAATAGTCCTTTCTTTAAGAAATGGCTGTGGACCAAAGAGCTCACGAGATTTACTACAGCTGTCACCTCCCATGGCCGGGTGGTCTGAAAATACTGTATAAAGAAAAGAATTTTCAGTGCCTCAGCAACTTGTCAAAGAAGTTTTTTTTCTTCTTTTTTTTTTTTTTTGCAGCTGGTTGGTAGAGATCTGAACCTTGACCTTGGTTACAACACGGCGCTCTAACCAACTGAGCTAACTGACCAGCTCCAAAAAGTTTTTTAAGGGGCCGGCCCGTGGCTCACTCGGGAGAGTGTGGTGCTGATAACACCAAGGCCGCGGGTTCGGATCCCATATAGGGATGGCCGGCTTGATCACTGGGTGAGCGTGGTGCTGACAACACCAAGTCAAGGGTTAAGATCCCCTTACCGGTCATCTTTTAAAAAAAAAAAAAAAAAAGATTGTGTATTTGAATCCCCATACCAACCAGCTGCCAAAAACAAACAAAAAAAAGATTATGTAATAAGTAGATGGTTACTCAAAAGTTTCTCTAGGGATAGGACAGAGAAAGGACAAGGAGAGGGGATGGCTGAGTATTGGTCTGACTTTGAGCTCAACATAGTGACTTAATAATAATAATAAGGAAACTAACGTGTACATAGCACTTACTCTGTGCCCAGAACCCTGATAAAAGCTTTGCACACATTACCTCATTCTGTTCTCTTTGTAACTCTGTGAAGTGGGATCTATTATGCCATTTACAGATTTGCAAACAAAGATACAAAGAGAAATCCAGTAATTTGCCCCAAATCTCTCAGCTAGGCGCTGTTATCTGTATACGTTGTGTGCAAGTGAAATTTTTGAGAAATTTAGCTGAGTTTACTTAATAATTTTTTTTCTGGCCGTAGATTAAGGAAGTTGTATTTGTGTTGAACTAAATAACACCATTTTAAACTAATGTCTCATTGCAACATATTGTCCCTATTCCAAGATAATGCTCAGGCTAATATCAATGTGTACAGGAGGGGCTCAGAAACTAATGTGAAACTGTCAGTCTTTTGGTTTGTGGTCGTAGCAACCATTTTCAGAAAGCCTGGTGTTTGCCTTTCTGCCTCTCAAAATCATGGTTTGCTCAATTCCTTTGTTCCAGAAGAGACACTCCATTCCCAGTCACTGCACGCCAGGCTGGTCTCCAGCTGTTGGTTCCGTGTCCTGTCATGCTGCTTCACACTGTTTTGTCTCACTGATGCTGGTTTTTTTTTTTTTTTTTTTGGCAGCTGGTTGGTATGGAGATCCAAACCCATGACCTTGGTGGTATAAGGCTGTGCTCTAATCAACTGAGCTAACCGGCCAGCCTCTAATGTTATTCTTTTGACCATTTGGCTTCAGCATGGAGTTAGCCCACTCCCCACAACTGTTATAAGAACACCTGGAGGGCGGGACTGCCTCGCTGTGTTTACCTTTGTATCCACTATTCTGCCTTGCACATAGTAGGCATGTAGTAAATGCTTGTGGAATGAGCCCATGACAAGAAGTGGTGAACCCTCAGCTCTGGCCCCATTCCAGCACCTTCAGGTTCTTGACTCACTGCATCATGGCTGAGCTAGCTCTCGGGTGATGAAACGATGAAGAAAGCAGAAACAGGTTGTGACCCATTTGGTAGGATGAGAGCCTCAACGTGCATGGGACATGCTGGTCTTCCAATCACTGTCCTTTATACTTTAAATTTGGTCAGAAATTCCCAAAGCCAGAATTCTTCTTGATTTGATTTCCATATTTCAATCCAAGAGTGCCTCTCAGGCAGGTCCTGGGGTCAGAGTGACAGACTTTGCCTCTGTTCTGCCCTGAGCCGTGAGTCTATTGATTGGTATTCCCAGCACAGAAAAGTGCTCAGTACATGTTTATGGAATTGAATGAATTGACTGGACTTGACTTTGAAGACATTACGTTTACAAAATCATCAGTACTTCAATAACTGTGTTAAGTGGTTTGAAGTCATGTGCGCGTCTTCCTACATATGTGCTTGGGGAACATGGCTATAAGCTAGAGCTTCTGGATTTGGCCTCCGGAATGTTTAAGGACATTCATTGTCTACTGAGTTGGGAAGGTTTCTCATATG